ACTTTATATACCATCAGGTTCACTGTAATGATCAAATCTTAGTTAGCTATTTCCAATGAACTCAATTCCCATAGGATCTTGTGCAGTAAGAAAGTACATATACTACATTACCAAAACTAAAACAAAACTGTTATCATATCAGTCAAATGACAGTTAAAGACTAACTTGAAGACTCAGTACACATAAACAATAATCAGATGATTGTTTTATCATTAACATTTATTGATGGGATGGATAAATACAGATTGAGAAACATACTTGACAGCAAGATATCAAACTGATAGCCAGACTATAAAATGTATACAACATCATTTTTTAAATTTTTAAAAAATTTTTTTAATGTTTTACAAAGAGCCCTTACTATAATGGTCACTTATATCTTACCATTCACATAACAGCAGTAGAGATCCCAGGGGTAGCATCCAGAACTGAGGTGCCCCAAGGAGGACAGAGGCAAGAACAGAATAATATGCTGAGAAAGGGCTCTTAAGAGCAATACAAAGAAAACAGACAAAAAATATCACCACAAAATTGTACCTGAGTGACATAGATCGGAAAAGTGTTTTACTTTTTTTTTCCTTCTTTGCTCTTTGGTCTGATAAGAAAACAGTTTTAGGTGTGTGGAGTAGGGTGGAGAGGTCAGTTTCAAATCCAGAAACCTAAGTTAACACTCAGTGGGCTGCATTCTTTTCTTTGGGTGCTTAACCCAGCCAACACTTCCATCTTATAACCAATTCCAATGTGATCAACCACTAATCAGTTAAGGCCTCAGCTTTCAACTGAAGAGTTCCTGATAACCTGATGAAGACATACTTGCTCTGGCTTCAATTAGCATGCTCTCAAGTCTTTCTCTTCTTTTCATTCACCATGAATACACACTCATAAAGGGGAAGAGTAGACACCACTTTTTAGTAAACGTTCCTTTTTTGCCCTCCCTTTTCCAATGCCAAGTTCATGCTAAAAACTTTAGAAACATTAAAATGGAACGGTCTCCCACTTAAATAACTCTCACTCCAGACCACTCTAACTAGCAGGATTATAGTACCATGCTTTTTATCCCACAGAGGGATAAAAAGATAAAACTTGACAGTGTGGTAAAACATGAACATTTTTTAAACCACCAGGAACAAACACTCAGTTAAAAGCTGGGTGTTAACAAGCAGCAACACAAGAAATTTGGGGAGGCATCAAAGTCATTGAAAGTTTCGTGGGACTGCAGAGGGCTTATTTCTCACCATGTGAAGGGTTGCATAGACTGCTTAAATTCTCCCAAACCCAAGAGAATAATATTTGTATTCCAACTTCAAGATGTCCTAGAATCCCTTTTCCTGGCATTAGTATCAAAATAGATCAACAACAAAGGACTAATCCTTTTAAAATTTAATCGGTTCCCAAGTTCCCACAGTCCTGTGTTTCTGCAGGAAACACAGATATGTTTAAAATCCAACCATACTGGGATAAGACTCCTCTAATTGCCTTTGTCCAGAAACAAGGCATAAGGGGTATGGATTTTCAACATGGGGAATTAAGTAGCAGAGGCTTAAGTAAATCCAGCACTGATGTTACCATGATTTTATTTCTATATCCTAATCCATTGCTGTTTCCAACTGGAAATTTAAATTTTTTCTATCAATGTTGGTGAAGCCAATAATACAGAACTATGTAAAAGGATACATTAAATCAAAACACTAAAATCATTTTAAAAAAAAAAAAAAGAGGAAGCTGAGGGTCTCAGATATGGAAACACATTGATTCAAGTGAAAAGACTAGACTAATTCCTACGTATTTTCTAAACTCAAAAAGCATAACTGACACTTCAGAAGACCAATGTAGCTTTAGATTAATGCTTCACTAGAGTTCAGCTAACAGCAACACAGGTATCTGATTAAAAGCCCTAAGGACAATTCACAGGTATTTGTTTTTGCCAACATGAGATTCAAGCAAAGTTTTAGGAATGAAATTTACAGAACTTGAGGCTCCAGGCCTGCTTACCACCACTTACCCTTGATAAGGTTAAAAGGAGGGGGGAAAAAAGCCATGTTTACTAGACTAACTTTGGATGTATAAATCCTGTTTCTCACCCTTTGAAGTGGTGAGGGTAAGAGAAGACACAGCATTTAGAAACCACACAATCTTCTGAAGCCTAAGCTTATGGAATTTGGACAACATGCATGCTAGCTGACAGGCACATCTGCTAACCCAAAGACAATGCAGTAAGCAGCTTCATGCAGAGCCCATAAGAAGTTTCATGACATATGCATAGATATAAAAGCGGACACTGTAGGTATCTTAAAACAGTATCAGGAGGCACTAATATAAAAAAGTCTCTAAATTGACCTATATCAGCAATGATCTACTAGTGCAAAGGCCAGACTATGCAGCTTTTGTAAAGCAGCTCTTAGGCTCTAGTAAGCACTTTTTTCAAGGTGACTCCTGACAAAGTTCTAAGGAACTACAGACTGCCATGGAGAACTGCTGAGGCCAAGTGGATATGTATCTCTGTGGTGAAAGAGTGAATGTGATTAGAAAATATGTGACATTTGATGAGAAAAACTGAAAGCTGTAAAAGACAATTTCATAAATCAGTGATCATCAATTCCACAAGATACAGATGCAAACTAAATAACCTTTTGGGAAGGTCAGAAAGGAAAGCTGACTCCGCCAAACAAAATCTAAACAAACAGCCTAAATTTAGTAAACACACCACGCATCTACCAATTACCTAGCACAACACAGAAAATATCAAGGAGAAAGAGGAAAATGTCATCAATAAAAGTAAAGTGACATTCCAAGTCAAAAGTATTACTGGTGTATCAATCAGCACAGAGCTCACTTTACACAGCAATGGCAGGCACTCCAGACAGTTCAAATATGCAGAAGTGCAGGACACTAATTCACCTTCAGTTAAGGCTTACTGAACGCATTCCCTCCTATATTAGGCCAGTGCATCATCAATTCCAACTGTCTCCGTTTTCTCCCCAACCTGTTCCTGGCAAGCAGCAGCACATGTACAACTCCTATCTCCCTATGACTTCCAATGAAAAAATTCAATTTATCCACAAAGAATATTTGGTGTGAAAGAAGCTGCATTAAAATCAGGACGACAGGGCTTCCCTGGTGGCGCAGTGGTTGGGAGTCCGCCTGCCGATGCAGGGGATACGGGTTCGTGCCCTGGTCCGGGAGGATCCTGCATGCCGCGGAGCGGCTGGGCCCGTGGGCCATGGCCGCTGGGCCTGCGCGTCCGGAGCCTGTGCTCTGCAACAGGAGAGGCCACAACAGTGAGAGGCCTGCGTACAGCAAAAAAAAAAAAAAAAAAAAAAAAATCAGGACGACAAATTCAAATTCCATCACCTTTTCCATGGCAAAAAACACCATGAAGACTGAAAAAATATCACACCATGAAGACTGAAAAAACACCATGAAGACTGAAAAAATATCACATTAAATAATCTGTGGCTAGGTGGCATTTTCAGCTGGACAACTTGGCTTAGAATTCTTTCTGGCTCCTTGAAAGATTTCTTTCCTCAACAAAAATGTTCACTCCTAAAATATGGGATAATTAAGCACCCATTAGAACAGGACTCCTGATCCATTTTTCTAAAGGACTCTTAGAAATCTTAGAAATCTACAGAAGAACTTCTACCTAGAAGCTAAAACCACCAAAGATGCACAATCTAAACATTAACAGTATCTGAAGGCTAGGCTTGCTCACCCTCATGGCACCAGCACTGTTAAATTCATAAGCTCCAATCTCTGAAGTCATATAGGCTGCAAAAACTGAGGATGCAGCTGCCTCCCTTCAGATATACAGATAAAAATCAAGTCTTACATTCATAATATAATTTAAAATACAATGTCCTAAAAATTCCCAATCACAGTTTTCATTGTTTTCAGTATCCTTTAGCTCCATAGCTTCTCCCAGATCTATTCTCACATATGGTCTGGGCTTTCACAGGAAGGATAGCACATCCCCCTTCCCTTCAGAGACCCTGAGACTGCTCTTACTTGAACACTTTCCCAAAGCCCAATGTGAAAAAAAGCACACCCAACTGCGTAGCGCAGAAGCCAGCCTAGCTCTCCAGCCTTCTTCCTCAACCCCACCTTTGTTCTGTATCAAAAGGAAAAAGGGGGTAAAAAGGAAGTTTTTATAATGGAGTCCAGAGTCAGACCATTGGCTGCACCTGCCCAAACTAGAATTTAGAAGGCTACCCTCAATTACAACATAAAGAAAGAGACATGTCAAATACAGGCCTCTTCCTTCCTTTATGTTTTAAAGGCCACACCGTGTTCTCTCTAGTAGACTGTTAGGAAGTAAAAATGGTGAAGTACAGGGAAGGGAAGATAAAACATGATTTTTAAACACGCACACTAAAAACACACATACCCACACTTACATACACTTAAAGGTCGAAACACGTCAAGTGGCCAGAGCCGATCTCAGAACTCACGGCCAAAATCCTATCCTCCCATCCCCACTACACACACACCCCCCACCCTCCAATCCCAACCCCCAGGACTCACTGCCGTGTATCTCATACACACAGCAAAATCCCTATCCCTTCCCCAATTATATAAAAAAACTAAACAGATAACTTACTTTCTTTAAATTATTTTTTTAAAGTCTCTTAAAAGATCTTGACATTTAAATACTTCCTCTCTTCTGATATATTAGACACCAAAAGGATCCACAACTGTTTGATAAAACAAACCCTCCATACTTCAGTCCTGGCAAGAAGAGGGAAGATATCAACTCTAATCGACCTAATTAGGAGGTGGAGAGGCCAAGAACAGAGAAAGTATTCTGAATCCTTCACAGCTTTAACACATTCTCACCTCTCAGTAAAAACTATAATAAAATAGTTAAATTTCTGAGGCAGGCGATATAATAACCAAGGCCCTCTACCACCTTCCCATGTCTCAATATAAATTTATTTCTAGTCCAACAAGGGTGACATGTTTCATAAGGGAAGTAATTTTCTTAGTCCAGAATCAGTAGTTTTAAAAAAAAAAAAAAGATGTGTTTTTAAAGTTTTTTTCTCCTCGTCTTTTTCTTTTTTACTTGGGAAGGGGTGGAAGTGGTGGAGGAGGTTCTGATGGTAGAGGTGGTAGCCGGGGTTTGTCTGTATTGCCAGGTCTGGAGGACATTCCACCAGCCCGTGGATTCAGATATTCTCCATAAGAATGAACATATTCAAACGCAGGTGGCTGAGTGGGCTGAACACCTTGGGCATTGAGAAGGGAGTGAAGCATATTCACAGTATCTTGATAGTCTATGGTCTGGGTTGCATTGTGACCATTGGCCCCAGTGGAGCCTTTATCCAATCTCATGTGAGGAACTCGAGTTTTACAGCTGGGCTGTGAAAAAGTAAGGCCACTTGTGTCTGAGCTATGCCCAGGCAACTGGGCCATTGTAGGAAGAGGAGGGAAGGAGAAATTTATGGAAGAGGATTTAGTATTCTTGGCAGTCTTAGCTGAATGATCAAACACTGCCCCTCCAGTCTCTTCAGGGAAGGGCCTTTTACGAGAAGAACTGGAAGAGGAGAAAGAGCTAGACAAGTTATAGGGTTTGTGTACTAAGGTGCTTGTCTGGCTACTATGTTTTGGATCACCTGGACGTTTGTTCCCAGTACTAGCTGGAAGCTGTGAGTGAGAGTGTTTGTGTGAGTGGTGATTATGATGATGATGATGATTAGATGGGTGAGTCTTGTGCTTTTCTTTGTGCTCACGGCTCTTTGTGACACTGTCATCTACAGAACTGTGCTTGTCAGCTGCAGTGTGAACTTTGATGCGCATTTTTATCTCCTCTGGTTTTGAAGTGGCAGCTTTATCTCCACTTGTCACTGGGATTCTCATTTTTAGAGCTGTTTTGTCAGTCTTTTCCAGAAAAGGCCGCTCAGGGTTTTCTGAGCCCTCTATGGGCATTTTCAGAAGGATGGAAGAATGGCTATCATGGTGAGCCAGAAGATTCTGGGCAGCAAAGGCATACTGTGACTTCACATTGGCCTCCATGTTCTCCAGTTGCCTCTTCTGGGCAGCCAACTCTTCCGCATGCTTTGCACGGTATTCTTTCAGTGATACTTTAGCTGATGGCACACTCTTACTATTCTGCTTCTGGGAAACAAATGCATTTGAACCATCCTGTTGCAAGGAATGATCAACTCCTATAAGTGCTAAATTCTCACTAGTCCGATGACCCTGAGCAGGTTCTACCTTAAAAGGAGGGTGGGAGGACAGCCAACGCTCACTTGGCAACATCTCCACATTGCTTAAGTTACTGGTTGACTCTTCAGTGGCTGGAAGGGAAGGCACTGCACTTGTGGTAGAAGAAGCTGACATACTCATTAAACCTGCAATAGTTGTATCTGAAGAGCTCTGGGAAATCATATTAAGGATTGTCTGCTCCGAAGTGTTTTCATCTGCTCCTCGGTCATCTGTTTTTGTTTTCTTGGCAGCCTGGCATGCCTAGAATGAAGCAAATAGCATCTTTTCACTTCAGGTAATTTATCAAATGGAAAAAAAACACTGAAATGAGTAGACTGAGTTTGCTGTGACATTGGGAGTTTGGGATAGCCCATAACCAGGAGGTTACTCTAACATGAGACTGATAATTATTACCATCAGGAGAGATACAATTTTTTTAAACCTTCAATCAAGCATCACAAGATCTCAAAGAGGTATCTGAACTCCCATGTTCGTTGCAGCACTTTTCACAATACCTAAGGTATGAAAGCAACCCAAGTGTCCATCAATAAATGAATGTATTAAAAAAAATGTGGTCTATATATACAATGAAATACCATTTAGCCTTAAAAAAGGAGGAAGATTCTGTGAAGACAGCAGAGTAGGAAGCACCAGGAATCTGTCCCACCTAGACAACAATTGCAAAGGCAGAATCTGTCTGACATAACTATTTTGGAACTTTGCAGTCTGTTGAAGGCTTGCAGCTGCCAGGGTAAGCCCTGGACAATAAACTGAAGTTAATTTCCCTCAATTTCAGCTCTCAGCCCCAGTCAGCTGTGCAGCTGTTCCTGGAGTGGCTTGCACACAGCTTGGGGAACCCTGGTTAGGCAAAAAGAGCTCTATTTTCCAAATATTGGAGATCTGTGGTCTGATCGCTGACTGCTGCTTTCAATCACAGAGGTACAAAGAGAAAGGCAGCCATTGTTGTTGCACCTCCCTCCATTGTTGCAATCCCCTCCCCCTCTGGCTGAAGTGACTTCCCTGGATATAAAGGGCCAGCCCCCTTCCTCCCCCACTTCATTTTTTGCTTTTTCTCCCTTTGGGAGCCAGATATTAGAGTAGAACATTTAAAAAAAAACACTGTCCCTACAGAAACGTCCAGGAAAAGGCTCAGATAAGGACTGAGAAGACATTAATTTTATACATCAAGCTGATCCTCAGCACAGAAATATCCTTCAAAATCAAGCCCCCACCCCAAACATACAAAAAAAAAAAAAAAAAATCCCAGCAAACCCCAGGAAAGGGAGAGAATCTTATTTCCAGAGTTACCATGTTATTAGATTCAAATGTCCAGTCTTCAACAAAAAAATCACAAGGCACATAAAGAAACACAAAAGTATAGCCCATTCAAAGGAAAAAAAAAAACAGAAACTGTCCCTGAAAAAGACCCAATGGCAGATCTACTAGGCAAAGACATTAACTGCCTTAAAGATACTCAAGGAAATGAAGATGTCAAAAAGTCAAGAAAACAACATGTGAACAAAATGAAAGTATCAAAAAAGAGATTAAAAACCTTAAAAGAAACCAGAGAGATCCTGGAGCTGAAAAGTACAATAACTGAAATGAAAAATGCACTGGAGGGATTCAAAGGCAGATCTGAACAGGCAGAAGAATCAGCAAACTTGAAAACAGGACAATGGAAATTATCAAGTCTGAGGAACAGAAAGAAAAAAGACTGAAGCAAGTGAACAGAGCCTAAGGGACCTATGGGACACCATCAAATAGACCAATGTATGCACTGTGGGAATTCCAGAAAATGAAAAGAAAGAGAAAGAGGCAGAGAATATGTGAAGATACAGCAGCTCAGAACTCTCCAAATCTGATGAAAAAACATGAACATAGATATCCAAGAAGCTCAGTGAACTCCATGATGAACTCAAAGAGACTCACATCAAGACATATCATACTTAACCCTTCCAGACTTCAGAGAGTACTACAAAGCTATCAGTAATCAGTGTGGTACTGGCACAAAATCAGACATCTGGATCAATGGAACAGAACAGAGAGCCCATAAATAAACACACATGCCTACAGTCAATTAATCTTTGACAAAGGAGGCAAGAATATACAGTCTCTTCAACAAGTGGTGTTGGGAAAGTTGGATAGCCACATGTAATTCAATGAAGTTAGAACACACCCTCACACCATACACAAAAATAAACTCAAAATGACTTAAAGACTTAAACATAAGACATGACACCATAAAACTCCTAGACGAGAACATAACCAAAACATCCTCTGACATAAATGTACCAAGGTTTTCTTAGGTCAGTCTCCCAAGGCAATAGAAATAAAAGCAAAAATAAACAAATGGACCTAATCAAATACAAGCTTTTGCATAGTAAAGGAAACAGTAAACAAAATGAAAAGATAACCTACAGACTAGGAGAAAATATTTGCAAATGATGTGACTGATAAGGGCTTAATTTCCAAAATATAAAAACAGCTCACACAACTCAACAACAAAAAAACAAACAACCCAATCCAAACATGGGAAGAAGACCTAAATACACATTTCTCCAAAGAAGACATACAGATGGCCAACAGGCACATGAAAAGATGCTCAACATCACTACTTATCAGAGAAATGAAAATAAAACTACAAAGAGGTACCACCTCATACCAGTCAGAATGGCCATCATTAAAAAGTCTACAAATAACAAATGCTAGAAAGGGTATGGAGAAAACGGAACCCTCCTACACTGTTGGTGGGAATGTAAGATGGTGCAGCCACTATGGAAAACAGTATGGAGGTTCCTCAAAAAGCTAAAAATAGACTTGCCACATCATCCAGCAATCCCACTCCTGGGTATACAAACGGACAAAACTATAGTTCAAAAAGATACATGCACCCCAATGTTCATAGCAGCACTATTCACAATAACCAAAACGTGGAAACAACCTAAATGTCCATTGACAGATGAATGGATAAGAAGATGTGGTACATATATACAATGGAATACTACTCAGCCATTAAAAAGAACAAAATAATGTCATTTGCAGCAACATGAATGGACCTAGAGATTATCATACTAAGTGAAGTTAAAGTCAGACAAAGACAAATATCATATGATATCATTTATATGTGGAATCTAAAATATGACACAAATGAACTTATCTACGAAACAGAAACAGACTCACAGACATAAAGAACAGACTTAGGGTTGCCAAGGGGTAAGGGGATGAGGGAGGGATGGAGTGGGAGTCTGGGGTTAGCAGATGCAAACTATTATATATAGAATTGATAAACAACAAGGTCCTACTGTATAGCACAGGGAACTCTATTCAATATCCTCTGATAAACTATAATGTAAAAGAATATGAAAAAGAATGTATATATATGTATAAATGAACCACTTTGCTATACAGCAGAAATTAACACAACATTGTAAATCAACTACACTTCCTTTTTTTGCCACACCACACATCTTGCAGGATCTGTTCCCCAACCAGGGATTGAATCCAGGCCATGGCAGTGAAAGAGCCAAATCCTAACCACTAGACCACCAGGTAACTCCCCAACTATACTTCAATTAAAAAAAAACAAACAAAAAAACCAGATGAATGGGTAAAGAAGATGTGGTATATATACGATGGAATACAACTCAGTCATAAAAAAGAAGGAAATTTTGCCATTTGCAACAACATAGATGAACTCGGTGGGTATTAGGCTAAAATACTGTATGTTACCACTTATATGTGGAATTTAAAAAATAAAATTAATGAATATAACAAAATAGATACAGACTCACAGATATAGACAACAAACTAGTGGTTACCAGCGGGGAGAGGGAAGGGGGAAGGGGCAAGATAAGGGTAGGGGATTAAGAGGTACAAACTACTATGTATAAAATAAATAAGCTACAAGGATATATAGTATAACACAGGGAATATAGCCAATATTTTATAATAAGTATAAATGGAATATAACCTTTAAAAATTGTGAATCATTGTTATACACCTGAAATTTATATAATATTGTACATCAACTATACCTCAATTCTTAAAATCATGGTATTAAAAAAAAAAAAAGACATATCATACTCAAACTTTCAAAAGCCAAAGACAGAATTTTGAAGGCAGCAAGAAGCAAACTGTTACATACAAGGGATCCTCAATAAGATCATGAGATTTCTCAACAGAAACTTTGGAGGCCACAAGACAGTGAGCTGATACATCCCAAGTACTAAAAGGAAAATACTGTCGGCCAAGCATCCTATATCCAGTAAGAATGTCCTTCAAAAAAGTGAAGGAGAAATTAATTATCTCCAGATAAACAATAGCTGAGGGGGGCTTCCCTGGTGCCGCAGTGGTTGAGAGTTGCCTGCCAATGCAGGGGACATGGGTTCGTGCCCCGGTCCGGGAGGATCCCACATGCCACAGAGCGGCTGGGCCCGTGAGCCATGGCCGCTGAGCCTGCGCGTCTGGAGCCTGTGCTCCGCAATGGGAGAGGCCACAACAGTGAGAGGACTGTGTACCGAAAAAAAAAAAAAAAAAGCTGAGGGGATTCGTGACCACTAGACCAACCATACAAGAAAGGCTCAAGGGAGTCCTCCAAGACAGTAACTTCAAGCCATATGGAGAAAAAAAGACCTCAATAAAAGTAAATACATGGGCAATTATAAAAGCTGGTATTGTAACAATGGTTTGTAATTGCACATTTTGCTTTCTACATGATTTAGGAGACTAATACATTCTCAGGGGGAAAAAAATTAGTGTAAAACCTAGTATTACTATAACTTTGTCTTATAATTCCAAATCTTATTTTTTATATAGTATAAGAGCCTAATGCATCTAAAAGAATTATTAGTTTTCCGGGGGCACACAATGTATAAATATTTAATTTTGTAACATCAACAACCAAAAGGGATGAGGATGCAGCTGTAAAGGAGACAAATTTTGTATGTTAATACAAAAAATGAATGAAAAAGGAATTTAAAATTTTTCACTATGAAAAATCAACTAAGCACAAAAGACAGTATAATGCAGGAAATGAGGGACAAAAAAGCCGTAAGGCATACAGTAGGCATATCTTGGAGATACTGTGGGTTCAGTTCCAGACCATCTCAATAAAGCAAATATCACAATAAAGTGAGCCACAGAAATGTGCTGGTTTCCCAGTGCATATAAAAATTGTGTTTACACTACAGTCTATTAAATGTGCAATAGCATTATGTCTAAAAAAAACGGACATACCTTAATTTAAAATACCTTATTGCTAAAAAATGCTAAGCATCATTTGAGCCTTCAGTGAGTCGTAGTAGTAATACTAAAGATTACTGATCACATATCACCATAACAGATATAATGATAATGAAAAAGTTCAACATACTGCCATAATTACCAATGTGTAACAGAGACACGAAGTAAGCAAATACTGTTAGGAAAATGGTGTCAACAAACTTGCTTGATGCAGGGCTGCCACAAACCTTCAATATAAAAAATGCAATATCTGCAAAGTGCAATAAAACAAGGTATGCCTGTATAAAAAACAAATAGCATTAAGTGACAGAAGTAAATCTCTCCTTATATGTAATTACTTTAAGTGTAAATGGATTAAACTCTTAAGGAAAAGACAGAGATTTGTAGAATGGATAAAAACATATGATCCAACTGTGCTATCTACGAGAGGCTGAGATCCAAAGACCCAAACAGGCTGAAAGTGAAAGGATGGAAAAAGGTATACAATGCAAACAGTAACCAAAAGAGAGCATGCATGGCTATCTAATAGCAGACAAAATAGACTTGAAATCAAAAAAGATTTCAAGAGACAAAAAAGAGCATTATATATTTTAAAAGGCTAGCTACAGAAATTAGACATAGCAATTATAAACATTTACACACCTAATGACAGGTCATCAAAATATCTGAGGCCAAAACCTAACAGAATTAAAGAGAAATAGACAGCTTTACAGTAATCGTTAGACTTCAATACCCCACTCACAATAACAGATCAAGCAGAAGATAAGGAAGTAGGACTTAATAAATAAACTAACTAGATCTAACAGACATACACAGAACACTCTCCCCAAAAACAGCAGCACATACATTCTTCAAGTGCATATGGGACATTATCCAGGACAGACCATATGTTAGGCTGCAAACTTAGTCAACAGATTTTAAAAGATACATATCACACCATGTATCTTTTCTGACCACAACAAGATAAAGTTAGAAATCAGTATCAGAAAGAAAATCGGGGAAAAAAAAAAATCACAAAATTGTAGAAATTAAACCAATGGATCAAAGAAATCAAAAGGGAAATCAGAAAATACTTAGAGACCAAGAAAAACAAAACACAACATATCAAACTTAAGGTATGCAGCAAAAGTGGTGCTAAGGGAGAAATTTATAGCTCTAAACACTACATTAAAAAAACCAGGGACTTCCCTGGCGGTCCAATGGTTAAGACTCTGTACTCCCAATGCAGGGGCTATGAGTTCAGTCCCTGGTTGAGGAACTAAGATACAGTATGCCACAGAGTGGCCAAAAAAATAAAAATTTAAAAAGTAAAAAGTACTTAAAAAAAAACAAGAAACTGGGAATTCCCTAGCAGTCCAGTGGTTAGGACTCTGTGCGCTCACTGCCTGGGGGGCCTGGGTTCAATCCCTGGTCGGGGAACTAAAAATCCCACAAGCTGTGCAGTGTGGCAAAAAAAAAAAAAAAAAAAAAAAAAAAAACAGCCAAGAAACATCTCAAAATAACAAACTAACTTTATAACTTAAGGAACTAGAAAAAGAACTAAACACAAAGCTAGCAGAAGGAAAGATATAATAAAGATTAGAGCAGAGATAAAATAAACTAGAGAAAAACCAAAACAAAAATTGGTTCCTTGAGAACATCAACAAAATTGACAAATCTTTAGCTAGACAGACTAAGAAAAAGAGGGAAGACTCAAACTACTAAAATCAGAAATAAAAGTGGAGACATCTACCATTCTAACAGAACAAACTGTATATCAACAAATTGAATAACCCAGACAAAAGGGACAAATTCCTAGAAACACAAAACCTATCAAGACTAAATCATGAAGAAACAGAAAATCTGAATAGACTTACAGCTAGTAATAAAATTGAATCAGGACTTCCCTGGTGGCCCAGTGGTTAAGAATCCGCCTGCCAATGCAGGAGACACGGGTTCGAGCCCTGGTCTGGGAAGATCCCACATGCTGCGGAGCAACTAAGCCCATGTGCCACAACTACTGAGCCTGCACTCTAGAACCCGCGAGCCACAACTACTGAGTCCACACGTGCCTAGAGCCCGTGCTCCGCAACAAGAGAAGCCACTGCAATGAGAAGCCTGCCCACCACAACAAAGAGTAGCCCCCACTCCCCGCAACTAGAGAAAGCCTGTGTGCAGCAATGAAGACCCAACACAGCCCAAAATAAATAAATAAATTTTAAAAAATAAATAAATAAAATTGAATCAGTAATCAAAAATCCCCAAAGGAAAAAAAGACTTACTGGTTAATCCTATCAATCATTTAACAAAGTAATGACACTCCATTTCAAACTTTCCAAAAATTTGAAGAGGAGGGAACACTTCTCAACTCATTCTATGAGGCAAGCATTACCCTGATACCAAAGCTAGAAGAAAACACTACAAGAAAGGAAAACTACAGGCCAATATCCCTTATAACCACGGATGCAAAAATCATCAACAAAATACTAGCAAGATGAATTTGGCAGCATTTTTAAAAAATTACATATCATGCATGACCAAGTGGAATTTATTCCTGGAATATAAGGAGGGTTCAACATATGGAAATCAACTGATGTAATATGTCACACAAACAGAATGAAGGAAACAAATCACATGATCATCTCAATTTGTGCAGAGAAAGCATTTGACAAAATTCAACACACTTTCATGATAAAAACACTCAACAAACTAGGAACATAAAGAGGAAACTACCTCAACATAATAAAAGTCACATATAAAAAACCCACAGTGAACATCATATTCAATGGTGAAAGACTGAAAGTTTTCTTTAAGATCAGGAATAAGGAAAAGATGTTCACTTTCACCACTTCCATTCAACACTGTACTGGAAGTTCTAGCCACAGCAATCAGGCAAGAAAAAGAAACAGCATCAAATTGGAAAAGAAGAAGTAAAATTATCTCTGTTTGCAGATGACATGAGCTTATATGTAGATAACTCTAAAGACTCAACCAAAAAGAATTTATTTTTTCTGATTTTATTAGAATTAATAAATGAATTGGGCAAAGTAACAGGATACAAAGTCAACAAATAAAATTCAGTTACATTTCTCTACATGAATAAACAATCTAAAAAGGAAATTATGAAAACAATTCTATTTACAACAGCACCAAAAAGAATAAAATACTTGGGAATTAACTAAGGAAGTAAAAGACATGTACAATGAAAACTGCAAAACACTGCTGAAAAAAATTAAGTAAAACATAACTGGAAACTCACCTATGTTCTGGATCCAAACATTAATTCAAACATTAATACTGTTAAAATGTGGGGGACTTCCCTGGTGGTCCAGTGGTTAAGACTCCGCACTCCCAATGCAGGGGGCCCGGGTTTGATCCCTGGTCAGGGAACCAGATCCCGCATGCATGCCACAACTAAGAGTCTGCATGCTACAACTAAGAGTCCACATGCTGCAACTAAGAAGCCTACATGCCACAACAAAGATCCCATGTGCTGCAACTAAGACCCAGAGCAGTCAAAATCAATTAAAAAAAAAAAAAAAAATCCTAGAATTCATACGGAATCTCAGAGGACCCTGAATAGTCAAAACAATCTTGAAAATGAAGAACAAAACAGAAAGACTCACACTTCCTGATTCCAAAACTTACTACAAAGCCACAGTAATCAAAACAGTGGGGTACTGACATATAGACATATAGATGAATGAAACAGAATAGAAAGCCTAGAAATAAACCTTCACATACATGGTCAAATGATTTTTGACAAGGGTGCCAAGACCATTCAATGTGGAAAGGACAGTCTTCTCAACAAATGGTGCTAATTCCACTATTCATAAATAAGACTTTGAAAAATATCTGAAATACAACTTTAGACTGCAATCTATATAAAAACAAAATTCTAAAATCCATTTAAAAGCAGGTAATGTCAAAGACAAAATTATAATACCAGTTCTAATCTCCTAACTGAATCTTTCTTATACCAGAAGCCAACATTCTGTGACTCAGAAAAGCCAAATTTTTCCCCTTAACACTCTCCACACAAAAAAATAACCAATGTTGCTGACCAAATGACTAAATCACAAGAGTTGCAAAACACCAAATAAATCTCACTGTTGCCTACAGCAATGGATTTCTGGGCCAGAAGCCAAGCTATGAAGTTGAAATTATGACTATTGCATAACTACAAAAAGGGAAATTCCAAACCGAGGGTACATATCCATATCTGGTATTTTCACTGGTGTGGTCAAAAGAAGAAAATGGTTTGTTCCACAAACTGACAGCAATAATTCTTACCCTCCAATTCCGAATTCGTTTGAGCCTGTTGGGGGTTTTCTCCAGAATCTGTAGAAATTCATGTGTCAGTTCTACAAATGAAATTAGAACATTTAAGAAAAACTCAGAGAGGCAGAAGTAATGAAATAAGAATAACCTCAACTAACTATATTCATCTGAAATCAAGTCACCTTTGGCCAGATATGTGACAGATCAAGAGCAAGTGCTATTCAAGGTCCCTTACTCTAAAACTTACCATCTAAAAGTTCCAAGGTCACAGTGGCGTCAACATACTCCCACCAGTGCTTCCCATCAGTTGAGACTGGGATCTCCCAGTTGGACCACTTGCAAGCCAGATGAATGCAGACACAGGCCACCACAGGAGGTGTGTACTGCAGGCTAAATGTGGTCAAATGCAGGCTGACATCAGAGAGAAGGAAACAAGAGAGTGTCATGAGCTCTCAATTCTGAACCCAAAGTTAAAACTCTCCATTACTTTTAAAAAAAGTTTAAAAAAAAAAAAAAAAAGTTAAAAAAAAAAAACCCCCACTGGAGAGCAAGAAGGGCAAGAAATATCCAGTGCTCTGACCCAGCACCCAACATGATTTTTTCCATTAACCCACCAGCTCAGGTAACAACTTTTCTAATTTTTTTGACTACACATCATTTAATCCACACACTAATGACAAGGACTGGAAAAAATAAAAACAAAAATAAAAGACTGAGTATTCAGTTTTTTAAAATAAGGATTAATTATCTGGAGAATAAGCTCAGAACTTAAGGAAAATTATAAGATTTTTGATATGTATAATCCCTAAGTCAAATACCTAAGGAAATATTCTACAAATTATCTTGTCTCATGCCAATCGTACGTCTGGTCTCTTTAAAATAATGAATAGACAATCATTCTCTCAAGTGTGAATATACTTGACAGTTTACTTTTAAAATTTCTCCCACCAGGCTATAAAAATGAACTTCTTAGCCCTGACAGTCATTAGGAGTATCTTTGGTTTCCATGAACAACCAGTAGACTGGAGATGAGAATAATCAAGTCATTTGGTAATACAAGTTATGTATTAATTTTTTTCTTTAAAAAAGGAAGGAGAAAGAAAAAGTATCACAACTCTTTACACATATACATGCCCATTTATCTGGGCATGAGTGAAGAAAAAAAGAGTCTTTTAAAATATAGTAATAGCAGAATCCTCCAAATTAGATTTTAGTCACTGTCAATGAACCCCAAGTTTAAACAAACTTTCACAATTATGCTCTTGGATATTTTAAAGCAAAGTAACAAATGCAGAATTAAGTAGGCTATCAAACGATCAGCAATAAATAAATATATCAGTGTAACAAATTAAAAAAGCAGCATGGAAATTTTAAGGTACACATGAAAACTGCAGAAAAATCAACCTTTACCATAGAATTGTCTATAACACATTGTATCAGAGATCCTTGCCTAGATCTTTGGCTTCTAGTTTACTAAGTGCAAGACCTGTCATCTTTCCATATACCCATCAAAAAGTGACAATTCTAACGCAAGTGAAGTACTATCCCAAAAACAGAAGAGAAAAATATTAAAATATAAACCTGTTGGTTGCCATGAAGTAAGATGTCTGTGCTAAGTCCTTGCTTGCTAAAAAAAGAAAGAGGGGGGTGGGGAGAAGGTTATTAGTTCCATTCATTCTAAACAATTATTTAGTAAGCATGTAATATTTGCAAGGCAGAAAATATAGTGGTAAATGAGGCAGGCATGGTCCCTGACCACCTGATGTTTACATTCTACTGTCAAAGAAAACAGTTTGAGTGATTTTTAATTATAATATTAATAATTATGCTGCTTCCCGACTTAGGGACCTAAGCTTTATTCTGCACACCAGGTATAAGGGGTACATGTTTAAAATGCAATTCCTGGGCATCCTCCCTAGAGTTTGACTCAACACATTTGGAGAAGAATGTAACAAACATTTTTACTTGTTAGTAACTCAGAGATCCTGATACAAGGGTTCACTGAGAAATTCTAAGCTAGGGGATGAACTAATTTGGAGGCAAGATCAGAATCCAGAAGACCTTGCTATATCTGGAAAAAATTAGCAAATAACATAAATTATTCATATATATTACAATTAAAAAAATTCCTCCTTTGGGCTTCCCTGGTGGCGCAGTGGTTAAGAATCGCCTGCAGATGCAGGGGACACGGGTTCGAGCCCTGGTCTGGGAAGATCCCACATGCCACGGAGCAACTAAGCTCACGCGCCACAGCTACTGAGCCTGCGGTCCAGAGCCCACAAGCCACAATTCCTGAAGCCCGGGCACCTAGAGCCCATGCTCTGCAACAAGAGAAGCTACCGCAATGAGAAGCCCACGCACCACAACAAAGAGTAGCCCCCACTCACCGCAACTAGAGAAAGCCCGCACACAGCAACAAAGACCCAACGCAGCCAAAAAAATTAAATAAATAAACAAATAAAAATTCCTCCTTCAAAAAAAAAAAATGCTCTGGGTAACAAAGCAAATTTTAACCTTCCTTAGATTAAATATTAGCATTTATCCATCTCTGTGTAAACCTTTTAATGCTTTCAAAATATAAGAACGCAGGGAAAACTGTGAGTTTTCAGATGAAACACACAAATAAGGCCAATTATCAGTTAAGTCTACAAAACGAAAAATGGCATTTAAACGCACAGTGGTGTCTAGATAGCCTTGATACTACTATTTAAATAAATAAGAACTAGGTTTCGTGCAATTACAGCTACTATAGTTAAATCGGAATAAAAACCAAGTCCTGGGCTTCCCTGGTGGCGCAGTGGTTGAGAGTCCACCTGCCGATGCAGGGGACACGGGTTCGTGCCCCGGTCTGGGAAGATCCCACATGCCGCGGACCGGCTGGGCCCGTGAGCCATGGCCACTGAGCCTGCACGTCCAGAGCCTGTGCTCCGCAACGGGAGAGGCCACAACAGTGAGAGGCCAAAATAAGTTCAAATAAATTCTAGATGACCCTCTGGGTGGCCTTTAAGAGTGCCTAGGACAATCAACCCTAGAATCAAATTAACCCCCAAGACATCCTTAAAATTGCTGTTAGATACTTATGATTTGGTGACTTGTCAAAATCTGCCCCCAGCTTTGACAAACATCCATAAGAAACTAACTCTCTTTATCTGGAGATCACCTAAAAACATTATAAGAACCCAACAGAAAAACTCCAACAACTCATTTTGATTTAAGCCAGGTAGGTTTTTTAATTTAAATTTTGGCCAAAGCAGCTGTGCTCTGTATTTGTCCAGAGCAAATCTTAGCCTCTAAATGGTAAAACAATTTAAGACAGCATCTCAAGTTGGGATTCCTTACCTCGAACAAGTTGAGTGCACTTTACCACATGTGTATGTGGGTGATCAATTGTTAGCTCAAAGCCTAAAAAAAAAAAAAAAGTAACTGGTTAAAAAGCTAAAGATACTCAAAATATTTCATATTTCTTTTATCTGAGTCATCATTGAAGGCCTCCCTCATTTTCTGGTCCCAAACCTGCCTGTTCAGAGGCTAAGAGAGTCAGACAAAGTATGGAGCACACTCTTCTTTAAGATTATCTTCAAAGGTGCTTATGTTTTGAGCTAGAAGGCACCACTCAGATAATAAAGCTAATGCAGCCTCAAGATCCCTGAGCTACCAAAAACCTCTACACACAAAACATTTTCTTAGGGACAAGAGAATATAATACATGGTTGGAAGAAGCAATTACTCATGTAATAATTATCTTTGAAAGCTTAACCTTGAAAAAACATTTTGAAACCTATTCCTCTCTTACCTCAGTTTTGTCCCTTTTCATCATCTCAATTACTGTAAGTACTGATCATTTTATCTAACTCTAAATGATCTTTACCAAAATTACTTAAGGAAGATCGGTATGTCTACAAAAATTTTCAATGAAGTTTCTCTTTTTGAGTATATAAATTAAAATTTTCAATGAAATTTCTCTTTTTGAGTATGTAAATAAAACTTTCCAGTACAAGTAAAGAAATTCTAGGGAATTCCCTGGCGGTCCAGGGGTTAGGACTTGGCACTTTCACTACAGAGGGCCTGGGTTCAATCCCTGGTCGGGGAACTAAAATCCCACAAGTTGCGTGCCGCAGCCAAAAAATTTAAAAAATAAAAATAAAGTCTGGGACAAACTGATTTAAAAAAAAAAAAGAAAGAAAAAAAAATTCTATTGAGAAATTTACTTGATGCAAATTATTCTAAAAGTATTCTTGATTCTTGCTAATTAGATCTTACTGGTTTCCACATTAAAATATTAATAAAAATTTACTCCACCAGAAAAATATCATTGTCCCCTAAAATATGGTTACCTTGAAGAAAACTAATTTAAAGTAAAAATTAGCAGAAACTAACTTCAGAGACAAGCTTTGAAGAATTCACTGTATGTTTGTACATGCAAAAATACAGCCCTATCAGTAACTTTCCAACATAACTCATGAAATACTCCCCCACCTAAAGAGAAAAATGATAGCCCAAAAGAACTAGAAAATCTTTATTTTCCATATTTGCTAAACTTTTAAAGGCAGTCTCTTTGATGAAAATAATAATAGATAATAGCAGAACATCATCAGTTCTTTAGCCCATCAACTGCTATAGCTTGAATTCCTCCACCTCCACTCCACTGTTCTGAACACTGAGTATCAATTTTAAAAACAGATGCTGTTATCCAAATATAATGACAAGCAGACTACAAAAATCCATGGAAGGAAAAAAGTTGTTTAGATAGTTTCTGCCATTATTTATCAGAAAGTTAAAAACTGCCAAATCTTAACAAGCAAATCATGAATCCTAGAATAAAAAACAAACAAACAAAAAACCCCTGCTAACTGCTATTTCAAAGGTCAGCCGTGCCCGCATTCTCTCTGTGGTATAGGCCAGGGTTAAACGACCTCTAAAATGTGCAAAAACCTTCCCAAGAAATTCTCTTCCTATTTCCTATTTTGAAAATTTTAAAATCATTACATTATGGACATATTTCTTTAATGTTTTAAAGGAAAATAAACTTACCTAAAGTCTGCAGAATTATGCTTTCTAATATCACCAGATCTTGAACTTGTTGCAGGTAAGCCTGCAGGTGAGAAGACAAATTATTCCCCAAAAAGATACAATATATAATATATAAAGTGTAGGCAAATTCTAACAACCTCCAAGGGAAATCAAAGCCTCAAAAGGCAAGGGTGGGGTTATGAGGGAGAGTAGGAACTGAAATTAACCCTTATCCCCAACAGATTCTCCTTAAAAATAAAAAAAGAAGTGGTATAGTGAGAGATGTCACTTTATTTATAAATGGCTACAGAAAAAGCACCAGAGATCTAGTTCCTTTTCAGACTGACATTTTAGGTTCTAAAGTTCATATGATGTAGACAGAAGAAAATTTAAAATATATCTTTTTTCAACATCATCAAAATACACTGCAGAGCCTTCTCACAGTACTGTAGGCAATCTCAAACATTTGACTCCTGTTAAACCTTCCTTTTGGAGTAATGCTAGATTTTTATAATTCATAAATGGGTTCAAAGAAAAAGGGAACAAACAAAAAATTCTTTCAGATTTGTACTGGCCATTACTGTAGCCACTATCCACACATGGCTATCGAGCACCTGAAATGTGTTATGAGTGTAGAATACACACTGAATTGTGAAGACTTAGTTAAGAAATAATAATGTAAACCACTTCATTAATAATGTTTTAAAATTGATTATATGCTGAAATGACTATATTTGGGGGTTAAAGAAAATAATTTATAAAATATAACATATTAAAATTAATCTTAATTTTTTTAAGTAAAGATTTTTATATAAAGCTTAATGAAAGGTTTAAAATATGTAATTACGTATGTGACTTCCCCTACATTTCTACTGGACAGCACTGGTCTAGAACTCTAGGAGAATGAGATTTGAGCCAGGAGTTAAGAGACTTATGTTGCTGCTAACTTTCCACTGAACTTTATGATCTTGAATAAGTCCAGTAAGGATTTAAACTATGCTAGTTCCCCCTTCCATATAGTGAAGAAAGTATCTTCTCCTAGTCACCTCATAAGAGAGACTCAGGTGAGAAATCATGTAAATATACTTGAAAGAAAAAAAAATGAAGTAGGGATTTTATTTTTTGTTTTATTTTGTTAAAATAAAATTTTATTTGGTCAATTCTATAGACCAATGGCAGTTAGTAGTCTCTAACATAAATAAAAGTCCAGACCAACAGCTCTTCAACAAAACTACTGATGCAGCCCAAAGAGAAAACAAAGTAAGTCAAGACACTGCTATGCAAAACACTTAATTTACATAATATGGGGCTATTATCAAAACAAACCGTCCCCACAACCACTTTGCCCAATATGATCAGAAGAACACACAATTCCACTTAATTTGATAATGGATGACTCATGCACCCACTGTAACAGACAAATAATCTAGTAACAGAAATCCATAATTTTTCTCCAAACTCATCATTCCCCAATCACTGATTTCTAAAGCCAGGAGAGTTTCCCTTCTTTAGAAGGTCAAGGAAGGATGGAAAGGGAAAAAAAGCTATATGTATACACATAGGATAAAGGTGTGGAAGAACATATATCTGAACTGTAATCAGCAGTATCCTCCTAGGAGAAGGAGGGGAGATGAGCTTTACCTTTGACTTTAAATGATTCTTTAGTGTTTGGGTTCTTTTACAATGAGCATACTTGTAATTTCTTAAAAAGTTAAGCACACATGCACCAGTGACAAGATTCACTTAAAAAAAATTCATTAACAAAAAATCTAAAAGAATTTTCTTCATAGTGATATTACAGTGGTTAAAAGCTGGAAATTATCTTAAGAGAAAATGGTTAAAATATATGTATGTATATGACAAAATACTATATCAATATTTAAAGGAAGCGGAGAATTGATGGGAAAATATTTGATATACAGTAAGTGAAAAAAGCAGGTATAAAATATATACATGTGTAGCTACTCATAGAAAAGAAGCTGGAAATACTGGTTCATTTATATATCTGTGGTACAAATTACATCTAGGTAATATATTTTCTTCTTTTTCTGCATTTTCCAATTTTACCAGAATGAATACAATTAACTTTTGCCATAAATTTCTGTGATGTTTTTGTTAAGGAAAAAACAAACACTAAAAGTTCCTTTAACAGCCCCAATTCAGACTTCAGTAAATCAAAGTTAGAAAACTAAGTTATGATCAAAATAAATTAAGAAAAACAGATGTGTGTAATTAATCCCCTACCTCACTCCTAGTATCAGGAAGTGATTCCTGTGGATGGAGACAAGCATGTGCTACCTTGATGACGTGTTCCAATTTTTTGGGCTGCTCCTCTACTTTGGCTGCTAAAAATAAGGCTGCTGGAGCCACAGACTGGATGAAGAGAAAATAAATCACATTTATTATTTGTTTATTTCTAGAGTAAGGTAGATCTAAAAAAGAACTAAGTCTTAAACCAACTTCTTTGCTTACCTCAACTTCGTCACCTCTTGTTTACGCTTTCTCCTCCTCTACTTAAATATCTTCTCCTCTCCTATCCATTAACCACGTCCACTTCTGAAAACCAATCCTTCAACAAACTCTCATTAAAAGCTACCTATTCAAGAAACCACTAGATGTAAATAGCTTTCTACTTAAAATGAGATTATTAAGTTTTATCAAAGCACTCTATATACCTTTTTTAAAGGAGTAAACTGAAATGTCCAGAATCAGCAAATCCATGGAGACAGAAGTAGATTTAGTGGTTGCCAGGGGCTGGGAGAAGAGAGGAATGGGAGTGACTGCTACAGCATGAGGGGTTTCTTTCTGGGGTGATGTAAACGCTCTGAAATTAGATCATGGTGATGGTTGTCCAACTCTGAATATACTAAGAACCAGTGAATTGTACACCCAAAGGAGGAATTTTATTGTATGTGAATTACCTCAATTATACTTACATATGGAGAGGAGCACAAATCTTTAAAAAAGAATTCAAAGTATAGTATTATATTCAACAGGTTATAAGTAGAAGGTACTTAGAGGGGAAAAAAAAAGTCAAGCCAGGGAATTCCCTGGCGGTCCAGTGGTTAGGACTTGGCACTCTCACTGCCAGGACCGGGGTTCCATCCCTGGTTGGGGAACTAAGATACTGTAAGCCTTGAAGCACAGCCAAAATAAAAAAGTCAAGCCAATCCACAAGCAGACAGAAAACTCAGACACTAAACAAGAAATTAGAGCAATAGGACATAAACATAGCCTGGTGATCTGGGAAACCTCAGGAAGCACAACGTCTCTAGAATCTTAACAAGAATATTTCAATGAATCAAAGATGGCAATGGTATGAACTACAATTCACCAGGAGTTAAAGAAAGCAATAAATAATTTTATAAAAGTGAAATATCTATTTACTGAGTAGAACTGACATGCATTCTAACACTTATTTGTATCCCTGCAGTTATCTGTTATACTTTGCTAGAATAGATTTTTCTCAACAAATTCAATTCAGAATAACAATTCTCTTCCTTCATATTTGTTGCAGTTCTATATGGAGCTTGCTACATATATTCTACTAGACCTTAGGATAAACAAAGAAAAACCAGAGGAAAATGGGCACGAACAAAGGTGTGAGAAATCGGGGAATAAAGCACATTTTGAACACTAAACTGAGTAGTTTAGTTAAAAGATTTAAATAAAGTGATGTGGGACACAAAAGATTTTTAAGAAGAGAGTGACACTACAGATGTTAGAAAAAAAAATGCAGAGTTTAAGAAATATTTGGAAAGGTTAATCCAGTGGTAGGTGGTACTAAAAGGAAAGGATAGATACATTAAAAGTTAATTTTATTAAAGAGAAAATTTTAATAATACAGGCAGGGACTTCCCTGGTGGTGCAGTAGTTAAGACTCCATGCTCCCAATGCAATGGGCCCAGGTTCGATCCCTGGTCGGGGAACTAGATCCCACATGCATGCCCCAACTAAGGAGGCCGCCTGCCACAACTAAGTAAGACATGGCACAACCAAATAAATAAATAAAATAAACAAATAAATATTAAAACAACAATGATGATAACACAGGCATTAGGAAATAAAGTTTAGAGTAGGCACTAGCAGTAGAAATAAAGTAAAAAAGAAACCCAGCTTTCACCTTGGAAAACGAATAGGTTTTCAGCAAATATACATATATGTATTTGCATACAGAGAAAAAAATTCTAATGGAATATACGCCAAAACGTTAACAGGATTATCTCTGAACACCAAGTTATAGGGAAACCTTCACTTTCTCCTTTAATCTGTCCTCTTTCAATTTTTTTTTTTTTTTTTTTTTTTTTTTGGCTGCATTGGGTCTTTGTGGCTGCACCTGGGCTTTTTTCTCTAGTTGTGGTGAGCAGGGGCTACTCTTCGTTGCAGTGCACAGGCTTCTCATTGCGGTGGCTTCTCTTGTTGTGGAGCATGGGCTCTAGGCGCACGGGCTTCAGTAGTTGTGGTGCATGGGCTCAGTAGTTGTGGCACACGGGCCAGTAGTTGTGGCTCGTGGGCTTTAGAGTGCAGGCTCACTAGTTGTGGCGCACAGGCTTAGTTGCTCCGTGGCAATGTGGGATCTTCCAGGCCAGGGATCGAACCCACGTCCCCTGCATTGGCAGGTGGATTCTAAACCACTGCACCACCAGGGAAGTCCCTGTCCTCTTTTAACTTTATGATGACAATATATATTTATAGGGGAAGAAAAAATAGTACCACTATAAAAATTACGGGACTTATAACTGATTGGACACAGGGGAAAAGGAAAAGGACAACTCAGAGACAACACTTAAGATTTTAAGCCCACAACTTTGCTTTCAAGAGGCTAAAAATATATTTGAAAGAATCTAACTAAAATATGACATACAAACAATGGCTTACAAGGCAAGATAATATCTGTTAAGTGAAAGACCACAAGAGATAAATTTCAACCTCCTTTTTGTCCAATCAACCACATAAATACTCAAAGCTCCTCATGGAATCATATACCAAGCTAGCTTATCAAACTATTTTCCCATCAAAGGCAGTTTCCCAGAGGAATTCCAGGTAAGAGTATAAGATTTTCTCCATTTTAAAAGAACAATAATAATGCTAGCTAATACTTATTTGTTTGCTATATGCAGACACTTTGTAAATTAATTCGCCTATATCCTACTAACTACTCTATGAGGTAGGCACTATTATTGACCCCAAAGAGATGAGAAAACTGAGGCGTACGGTAACTCGCTCAAAGGCGTATAGCTGGTAGGCAGTGCAGCAAGGATCCGCATCCAGACAAGTCTGACCCCAGAGCCTATCCTCTTAACCACTAAACCTGACCTTTTAAGAATCAGCTAATGAGAGTAATATACACCCAATTTTGTCAGCTATTAAAAGACAACACCTGTATATCAAATATTATAAAATACAGAATAAATACACACACACCAAGTTGCTCACCACTACTTTTACATTCCCCCACTTGAAAACTTTTAGGACAGTACATACAGAAATTCAATTAATGAGGTTGAATTTCTTCTCAAAAAGAGAGTAAATGCAATGCCAGGATTTAAGTGAAAATAAACCAGTCATTTAATCATGTCTGCTAAGAAATAAAATTTATTTCAATCAAAAGACAACTTCTCTACCTTCCAAGGTATTGGAAATATACTATATCTTGTTCTGAGTGATGGTTATGTATATATAATGCAAAAAGTAATCATGCTGAACACCTCAGATTTCTGTGCTTTACTTTATGTTATACCGCAACAAAAATTTTAAAATTTTTTTACAAAGGCAAGAACTCTAGGCTTGAAAACACTATAAACGAAGAGTTACAACAAAACGAGAAAAGTATTCACAGCACATGACATACGGCTCTGATATATAAAGAGCTCATTTAAATGAGAAAATAAAAAAAAAAACAGGGGCAAAAAGAAACAACAGACAATTTTTAAGTCAATTCTTCAATTTCACAAAAAGAACAATGACCAATAGGCATAAGAAGTTCAACTTCACTAATTGAAGAAATGTAAATTAAGAAAATAACTTAGGACTTCCACTATCTTGCTCACCACTCTATCCCTAGTGCTTGACAAGTAGTTAGAACTTAATATTTCTTGAAGTAATAAGTATTTGTTGTTACTGAGGATGCAGAGGAAAGAACCCTCCCCCACAGTGCTAGAAATGTATGTTGATATAATCTTTCAGTAGAGCAAACTGACACAAAAAAACTTTTAAATGCATACCCTTGGACACAGCAATTCCACCTATAGGAATTTACAAAATAGTCATATAAGTGCATGATATATGTACCAGACTAACTTATGTAACATTATTTATAATACAATAAACTATAAACAACCCAAATATGCACCAATAGAGAGCTGGTAAAATAAATTACAGTAACTACTCAAATAAATACTATGTGGCCACTTAAAATGAGAAACAATAAGAAAATGTCCAATACATACATACTGTTAAGCAATAAAGGCAACTGTGCAAGAGTGGTACAGTAAGAAGTGATTTTTATAGAAATACATAAATGCTGGTACTATATGCACAGAAAAATGTCTGAGACACTATTACCAAAATGTTTATCAAAGGTTACTTCTGGAGGATGGGATTACAGAAGAGCTTTCACTTTCTGCCTTACACATTTCTGTACCGTTTTAATTTTTACCATGAGCACTTACTTTGTAGTAAGAAAAAATAACAAGAAAAATGTATGAGCACTTCACACTACACACTACATTTCAATGCCACAACAATGTATTAAGTCCCCTCAAAATTTGAATTTGGACTCATCACAGCTAAGCTCTTAGAATTAACATACTAAAGGAGTGATATTTTTCATCTGTTAATTCCAGAATGTGCCTAAAATCAATTCTCTAAAGAGGACCAATAACCTCAAATTAAAAGAATCATTGGGGCTTCCCTGGTGGCGCAGTGGTTTAGAGTCCGCCTGCCGATGCAGGGGACGCGGGCTCGTGCCCCGGTCCGGGAAGATCCCACATCCCACATGCCGCGGAGCGGCTGGCCCCGTGGGCCATAGCCGCTGAGCCTGCGCGTCCGGAGCCTGTGCTCCGCAACGGGAGAGGCCCCAACAGTGAGAGGCCCGCGTACCGCAAAAAAAAAAAAAAAAGAAGAATTATTGGATTTTGGAAAAGGTCATAAACTCCAGAAGAATCTCTTTACATTGGATAATTACCAGATCATTCATTCATTCAACAAGTTTACTGAAAGTGCTTTAGAGGATACACAGAAAAGTGAGTCTCTGTCCTTGCTAAGATAAACGCGTGGAAAATAAAACAAGATATAATTTAAAAGGTAAAAATAGGGGAAATGTACATACACACACACATACATATTCATAGAGTGGACAAATTGATTTGAGATGTAGTTCACCCTGGATTTCAAACCTTTACCATAATAAAAGAAATGTAGAAAACTTTCATAATGGGCAAGACAACTATGGACTTCCTCTTCAAGCTCCGTTCTTTATCCACTACTTTCTATTCTAGAGCTATCAGACAGCCTCATTAAATGCTTCTCTCTCTCTTATTAAGAATGTGCTCCTTGCAATCAGAGGAGGTAGGGAGGTTAAGGGTAGGAGACAGCTCAATTGATTGAATAATCAGCAAAAATTGGGAATAGTTAATCCACACTCTAAAGGGTTTCCTGTGCAATTACTCCCAATACTGAGTCCACCAATATCTTACAAGAGCAATATCTAACTTTCCAGTTTCTCTTCCTATGGCATAAAAATTCAAAACCTATCATCCTGGGACTTCCCTGGTGGCACAGGGGTTAAGAATCTGCCTGCCAACGCAGGGGTCATGGGTTTGAGCCCTGGTCCGGGAAGATCCCACATGCCGCGGAGCAACTAAGCCCGTGCACAACTACTGAGCCTGTGCTCTAGAGCCCACGAGCCACAACTACTGAAGCCCGGGCACCTAGAGCCCGTGCTCCACAACAAGAGAAGCTATCGCAACGAGAAGCCCACACACCGTAACGAAGGGTAGCCCCCGCTCGCCGCAACTAGAGAAAGCCTGAGCGCAGCAATGAAGACCCAATGCAGCCAAAAATAAATAAATTTATTAAAAAAAAAAAAAAAACTATCATCCTAAGGAAAAGTCTGAAACGCCTTTCCTCAAAACGTAACCTTTTCTTAAAAAAATAATGAAATATTTGACTCACAAATCCATATGAAGTGTTCAAGTTTAGCCCTATTACCTTGTGATTTTATTAAACAAATATAAGCTTACCTGCAACTGGGATATCACTATGCACTCGCTTCCAAGTCATTTACAATAATGTTAAATAGGACCATTTCAGGTAGCAAAACTGAAAATAACACTATTTACAATTCTGTCCAGAAAAAAAAAAATCCCTTTATTACTATTATTTTCTTTTTTCTGTCTTAAACGTCATCCCCCAGTTATCACATAAGGCACCTTCCCCTTCCAACTGATCATTGATGGGAATTTTATCAAAGGTTTTTAGAAAATGTAAATGACTTAACATTCACTTGTTTTCCTGTGCCCCTATTATCATTAAACATTTCAAAAATTACACTTAAATTAAGTGTAATGCTACCCCCCTTTAATGCTACTCTCCCAATCCAAAAACGTTAAGTTTAAATGTTCAATAATCTATTTTATTAGAGAATCCACCTACTCTAAGGATGCACTAAAGCTAAACAACTAGCTAGACACTTCACAGGAAAACTGGAAGGCTGGATTCAGAACAGCAGTGTGACACATAATGAAAGTGATCAATCATAAACTCTAAACTTCAAATCCCAGTTCAGCAGCAAAGATCAACCACAAAAGAAATATGAAGTTGAGATTAATCACAAAAGGATTACACCATATATAAAAATTATACTTACATTTCGATGGAACTGTGTAAAGGACTGAATCATGTAGAATCGATGCATGTACACTATAGCAGTGTTGATGGTCAATTGTGAGCTAAAATGTTCAAGTTAAGGCCCCAAAACAGACAGGCAGTACAATTCCCAAAAATACAACCTCTATATCCTCCCAGAAGGACCATGCAGCCAAGCACAGTGGATGCCCCTAAATGAAAATCATACTTCCTTTCAGGGGTGTGGAGAAAGGGACACCTCCTACACTCTTAGTGGAAAAGCAAATTGATGCAGCCACTGTGAAAAATAGTATGGAGGTTCCTTAAAAAACTAAAAACAGGGAGTTCCCTGGTGGAGCAGTGGTTAAGAATCCGCCTCCCAATGCAGAGGACACTGGTTCGAGCCCTGGTCCAGGAAGATTCCCACATGCCGTGGAGCAACTAAGCCTGTGTGCCACAACTACTGAGCCTGAGCTCTAGAGCCCACGAGACACAGCTACTGAGCCCACGCACCACAACTACTGAAGCCCGTGTGCCTAGAGCCCATGCTCCACAACAAAAGAAGCCACCGCAATAAGAAGCCCACGCACCGCAACGAAGAGTAGCCCTCACTTGCCACAACTACAGAAAGCCCGCGCGAAGCAACGAAGACCCAATGTAGCCAAAAAATAATTAAAAAAAAAAAAACTAAACTAAACATAGAGTTGCCATATGATCTAGCAACCCACTCCTGGGCATATATTCAGAGAAAACTATAATTTAAAAAGGTATATGCAGGGCTTCCCTGGTGGTGCAGTGGTTAAGAATCCACCTGCTAATGCAGGGGACACAGGTTTGAGCCCTGGTCCAGGAAGATCCCACATGCCGCAGAGCAACAAAGCCCATGCGCCACAACTACTGATCCTGTGCTCTAGAGCCCGCGAGCCACAACTACTGAACCTGCATGCCACAACTACTGAAGCCCACGCACCTAGAGCCCGTGCTCCGCAACGAGAAGCCACCATAATGAGAAGCCTGCACACCTCAACGAAGAATAGCCCCCACTCGCCGCAACAAGAGAAAGCCCACACGCAGCAACAAAGACCCAACACACCCAAAAATAAATAAATTAAATAAATATATTTTTTTAAAAAAAGAAAGAAAAGGTGCATGCACCCCAATGTTCATAGCAGCACTATTTACAATAGCCAAGGCATGGAAACAACCTAAATGCCCATCAACAGATGAACGAATAAATAAGATGTAGTGTATATATACAGAATGGAATACTACTCAGCCATAAAAAAAGAATGAAATAATGCCATTTGCAGCAACATGGATGGACCTAGAGATTATCATACTAAGTCAGTCAGAAAGAGAATGACAAATACCATATGACATCACTTAAATGTGGAATCTAAAATATGACACAAATGAACTCATTTATGAAACAGAAACAAACGCACAGACCCAAAAAACAAACCTATGGTTACCAAAGGGGGAAAAGGGATAAATTAGGAGTTTGAGATTAGCAGATACAAATGACTATATATATAGTAAACAACAAGGTCCTACTGTATAGCACAGGGAACTATATTCAATATCCTGTAATAAACCATAATGGAAAAGAATATGTAGGGAATTCCCTGGCAGTCCAGTGGTTAGGACTCAGCGCTTTCACTGCCGTGGGCCTGGGTTCAGTCACTGGTCGGGGAACTAAGAGCCCACAAGCTGTGTGGTGTGGCAAAAAAAAAAAAAAAAAAAAAAACTACGTATATATATGTATATATATATATGTATAACTGAATCACTTTGCTGTACACCTAAAACTAACACAACGTTATACATCTATACTTCAACTTAAAAAAAAGAAAATCATACTTTCCTCTAAGAATTAAAAGCAAATCTGTTCTTTCATCAATTAACTTCCAATTGACACTTAACACAGTCTTATATGTAACAGATATTCACTATAAAGTTGCTGAATTAATAAACAAGCAAAGCTTCTCAGCATGTGGATCAAGAAGGAATATGAACAAAACTATATAAGACCTAAACCTGTTACTTGCCTACTGAAAATCCTGCCAAGGTGATATACTTGCACAGGATATCTCTTCAAATGATTTACAACACCCTCCCTGATCTGCCCCCTAGGTATGTATCCACTTATCTCCTCACCTTCTAAGCTCCAGCAATTACCTTTTCAGTTCTACTCTCTGGCACTCATAAGGTGAGCCCTGGGACCAGAAACACTATGATTTGATATTCATTCAGTGAGTTATTTGATACTCACTAAAAAGAAAAACATTTTTCTGATTTTAATTTTTAAAGAGCTCCATTTCCAGTTATTACAAAATATTGGCTACAGTCCCCTTGTTGTGCAATAAATCCTTATAGCCTAACTTACAGCCAGTAGTTTGACCCTCCCTTCTCTCCCCACTGGTAACCACTAGTCTGTTCTCTGTATCTGTGGGTACGCCTTTTTGTTTTCACTAGTTTGTTGTATTTCTTAGGTTCCACATATAAATGATATCACATGATATTTGTCTTTCTCTGATTACTTCACTTAGTATGATAATCTCCAGGACCATCCATGTTGCTGCAAATGGCATTATTTCATTCTTTTTTATGGCTGAGTAGTATTCCATTGTGTATATATACCACATCTTCTTTAACCATTCATCCTTCAATGAACATTCAGGTTGCTTCCATACCTTGGCAATTATGAACACTCGGGTGCATGTATATTTTCAAATATGTGTTTTTGTTTTTTTCAGATATATACCCAGGTGTGGAATTGCTGGGTCAAATAGCAGTTCTATTTTTAGCTTTTTGAGAAACCTCCATACTGTTTTCCACAGTGACTGCACCAAGCTACACTCCCACCAACAGTGTACAAGGGTTCCCTTGAAAAGAAAAACTTTTGAATGTCTTATTATAAAGACCTCAGAAAACAATGTGGGATATACAGAGATGAGACAGTACCACGATGGCAACAACCTTAATAACACACATGTAAAAAGGAAAGTGCTAGGATGCACTGAAACAGAATTAAAAAAAAAAAAATGTTTAACTCAGTACTAACTGGTTGCTTAGGAAACAAACTGGATACGGGCACCAAAGAGGACACCTCTTTTGAAGTGAGCACAACCTTAGGACACAAACATACAGCCAGCAACACATTTAAATGGAAGCTGCACCCAAGAATAAATTTTCATTTCCGAAGTGGAAAGAACTTTATATAGCTTTCTCTGCTACAAAATGAGTAGGTTTTCTGACAAACAAAAAGACTTAAAGGGGGAAAAAAAAATCACTAAATCTTTGAAATATAAGGAAAACGAATATACATTAGCACTCTGAGTAACTTTAAAACACAGTATTTTATAAAAGTTTTAGAACATTAGATCTGTAGGTCTACATCCCTACAAATCTACACTGACATCCTTCCTTCCTCTGAAATGCTATGAAACTCTTATCAGTAGCTACTTTAACATGAGTGCCAAGCATTGTGTTGGGCATAGAAATCAAATTCATGAGTTATCACCCCCATTTTACAGACAAGAAAACCAAGAATTCGACAGGTTTCTTAAACAACTAGTAAGGGGAAGGAACGGATTTTAAGCCAAAGCTGGGGCATTAATTCTAGACCACTCTCTTTATAAGACCTTCAGGTATCGAAATTTCTCAAAACTCTTTACACACCAAGTTCAAGAGGCAGCCATCAACAGTGAAATCTCCACCAGATCCCTAGGGCATAGTAGAAAAGCAGAATCTCGAAGTCACCAGAGTAGATCAGAACACACCGAAAACAGACTACGAGGAAGAGGAGTTAAAACACAAAGCGGAAAGGATACGCGTTCCCAGCAAGGTTGATGGCACGGGTGAGCGAGCGGGAAATTAACTCGGCCTCGCTTCCCTCCAGCGAACGCTTAACTTCAGTTCGCCCCATCGTAGGCTCTCCTAACTAGACATCCAGTCCCTGCCCACCCTTTTCCCTTCTGTCTGACAGACCTTGAAGCCTGGACGCCCAAACAGGGCGGGACCTACTCCAAGGCCGAAGGCCTAGGCCGCAAGGATACACGTTAAGACGTTGGCCCATGTCCTGGAGCAGATTGGCCGCCTGCTGGCGATAAGAAAGTTCTTTATCTGGGTCCAGGCCAAAACGACGGGATGGGCTATTTTCCAGCTGTTCTCGAGTAAAATACCACCGTTTATTGTTGTTCTTTCTCTCTCCCTCCATAGTGCTTCAACCAAAAGGCAGCGGCGGCGGCTGCAAGCACTTCCCAGCGTCACCCAAGCGGCGACACACATCCGCTGTACGGAGGCAACTGCGACGTGACAAACTTCCGCTAGGGGAGGACGGCTAGATTGTGACACGCTTCCGCCGACGGGCTGCTAAGTGATAGAATCCACTTCCGGAACGGACCTCGGGTCTGTCTGTAGCCGAGTTAACAGGCAGCAGGCGATCAGGAAACACCTTGCGTCGAGGACACAGGCGCCAGTCATGTGACCCTTGAGAGGCAAGATGCGGTTAGGAGTTCTCGTTCAAAAATAAACCACGTCTCTTCCCGCGAGAACTGGGTTCTGCCTTCGCGCGCTGAGCAAAGCTGAACGAGGCGTCCGCTCACGCGCCGCTGGGCGGTTCCTCGGAGAACTTCGCTTGTGACGTAGGTGACGGTATAAAACTGGGCAGATGGCGAACTTAACAGAGAAAACGGGTGAGACTGTCAAAAACTGAAAAAAGTAATCAAAGAGAGTAGCCCTACCGTATATTATAACATAAAGCAACTGGAAAGCTCTCGCACTGTTGGTAGCAGTATAAATTACCCACTTGAAAAGCCGCGTTGCAATATGTAGCTAAAGCCTTGAAAGCACTCCTTCGCCACGGTGAGCCAACTTAAAGGAATAAAATGGAATTAATGGTAATAATTTTGTGCTTAACCACAATGCTGACTCTTAAATATACTATCTCATTTAATTGATCAACCCCAAGAGGTAGTGATATTTTAATCCCTATTTTGCGAACGGGTGAACTCCTTCCGGGTGGAAAGCTTCCACTCCCACCCTGCGCATGCACAGATTTGTAAATTCCTGCCACCTGTCAAGATGAATCCCAGCTGTTTGAGGGCTGTTTGATCCTAGGCAAGATACTTAACTTCTCTGTGCCTCTTGTAAATGGTGTAGTACATATGGTTTAGTTTCTGAAAAGGTTTAAATGAAGATGTAATGAGTTAAAAGCACTTATATTAGTACCGGGCACGTAGAAAACACTCAGATTTTCTCATAATATTTATTACATTATATTGAAGTTGACGGCAAGAACAATACCATCTTCATATTTGTATCCCTAGCACCTACGCAGGCAGTCCTGGCCCTAGTAGTCAATAAGTATTTGTCAAACAAATGCTCACAACAACCTACAGTAGAGAAACAGGCTTGGGAAGATTAAGTAGTTTGTCCTACACTACACCACTTATCAGTGTAGATTTTAAAATCAAGTCTGATTCCATTGTTCTTTCCATTCTAGCAAGCTGTACTCTTGCTTTTCTGGAACAGTCAATTCACCTTGATTAAATTTGGGTAATATTAGAATCTTTTGTCTTTTATAATAAATATTTTGAGTTTTGTCATTTCTAGGCATGGCTGTTCCCACTCAGTTTGATTCTAACTCATTCTCAGAAGTATTTTCTTCCACTCCAGGCCCTCCTCTGCCATATACTGCCTATAATTAGCTTTAGCTCTGTTTTACTCTGGAAGAATTCAAGAAAAAATACTTCAATTTATAACATTAAAAAAATTATGATTTCAAACCTCTTCCATGACAGACTTTTTTCTTTTAATAGAAAAGCGCGTTCTCAGTTATGTCATCATGAATTTTGTCTTTTAAACAGCCAAAATGATTTCTCCCAGACTCCTCTTGCCTATTTCTCTGACCTGTGTTTGTTTCTCCACTAAATCTCTTGGATTGATGACTGCATTTTGAATTTGCGATGGTGGCTGTGTACCAATCTTCCAAGAAAACGTTCTGGTATCTGACAGGCTTCAGGCAATGCAGCTGCTAGCCAATGGCTTGCTACCCTGCCATACAGAAGAGGGGGACCTGTGTAAATCAGAGAAAGGAAATATTCTTTGACTGAAGATGAAATTACTTGAAAGTAGGCAGCTGTGATTACATAATTGCTAAACATGAGTTTTTGATTCAGGCCTGGTTTCAAAGCCCAGCTGTTCTTTTTTTTTTTTTTAAACTATCTCAACCACTTTTAAGCATACTGTTCAGTAGTGTCAACTATATTCACATTGTTAGGCAACAGGTATCTACAACTTTTTCTTTTTGCAAAACTGAAACTCTATACCCATTGAACAACTCCCCGTTTCCGCCTACCCCCAGCCCTGACAACTCCCATTCTGCTTTCTGTTTCTTTGAGTTTGACCACTTTAGATATTTTGTATAAGTGGAATCATACAGTATTTGTCTTTCTGTGACTGGATTATTTCACTTAGTATAATGTCCTAAAAATTCCCAGTTACTGTATTAACTAGCTGTGTGATCATAAGGGTCATCCTGAACAGAACACCATCTGACATATGGTAGGTGTTCAATACATGCTCATTGTCAAAGATGTTAGCTTTCAGATACATTGCCCTTAAAGAACAACTGACAAAATCTTAGACCAGAGGAATTTTCCTGTCCTTTTTTAAAATTTTAAATAGGACTCCATTCCCTGTAACTCACACTTGTAAGGCTACTTATTCTGGGTACAGGATGATATTTCATGGTTTGATCTTTTTTGTTTTGTGCTTGTGAATGTCATATTTCAGTCATGTCACACGTTACTATTTACTACTTTTAAAACAGTTTCTCCCCAACATTCATATAGTCTCCAAACTAAAATATGAAAGGATGGTGTGCTATTCATAACTATCCCCAACTCCATGTTCAGTGATGTGTATATTTACATAAGTTTATTGTAAAATTTACTGAAAGGATGTATAGCATGCAATTTACAAAAATTAAAATATACAATATTCTTTATCGTAAATTTCTCATAGCCAACTGATTCTCACAGAATGCTTTCATTGACTTTTGCCAAACTCTTGAATCAAGAACCAACCTATGATGGCATCTGACAAATGAATACAGGCATACCTTGAAGATATTGTGGGTTCAGTTCCAGACCACCACAATAAAGCGAATATTGCAATAAAGTGACTCACACGAATATTTTGGTTTCCCAGTCATAAGAAGTTATGTGTACTGTAGTCTGTTAAGTGTGCAATAGCATTATGTCTAGAAAACAATATACATACCTTAATTAAAAAATAGTTTGTTGCTAAAAAAATGCTAACTACCATCTTAAGTAAAAAATATTTTGGGGGCTTCCCTGGTGGCTCAGTGGTTGAGGGTCTGCCTGCTAGTGCAGGGGACACGGGTTCGAGCCCTGGTCTGGGAGGATCCCACATGCCGCGGAGCAACTGGGCCCTTGAGCCACAGCTACTGAGCCTGCGCGTCTGGAGCCTGTGCTCCGCAACGAGAGAGGCTGCGATAGTGAGACGCCCGTGCACGGCGATGAAGAGTGGCCCCCGCTTGCCGCAGCTAGAGAAAGCCCTCGCACAGAAACGGAGACCCAACACAGCAAAAATAAATAAATAAACGAAAGCATTTCATTAAAATATATATATATATTTTTTTTTTTGTTGCCAAAAAATGCTAACCACCATCTGAGCCTTCAGTGAGTTGTAATCTTTTTGCAATAGTAGCATCACTGACCACAGATCACTATAACAAATATAATAATAATGAAAAAGAAATATTGCGAGAATTACCAAAATGTGACACAGAAACACAAAGTGAGCAAATGCTGTTGGAAAAAAGTCTGAGCCAGTAGACTTGCTCAATGCAGTGGTGTCACAAACCTTCAATTTGTAAAAAACATAGTATCTGCAAAGTGCAGTTGAAGCAAAGTGCAGTAAAATGAGGGATGCCTGTATAGCTTTGATTGCTGGTTGACATTTTCATTTGCATTAATAAGATGAAAGTGAAACAATGAGACTTATGTTGGAACTTCACTTATTAGTGACTTGAGCAACATCTTTGCTGAATTGGATAATAGTTTTTGAATACTGCAAAAATATTTCAATTTTTTGTGCTTTTGACAATGTAATGGCTACAGATATGATACACTTTTAAACTTAATCTACATTATTAACATTTTCTTGATCACTTTCTTGACAATCAACAAAACAAATTAAGACCTTGTTTGTAGTATTTGCCAATTTCTATAGTGTAAACTCTACCACCATGGTCAATTTCAAACTACCAATGTGACGTCACTAATCATGAAATTGGGAAGAGATGAACATACCATCACATAGTATTTCCTCCATACAGGTGCAGTAGACAGGGACTTCTGCTTTCCCATCTGACATGTAAAGAGCTTGGAAATTATCACTCCTGTTCTCACAACAACAAAGCGGAACAAACTGAAAATCAATAACCCTTCTTAGATCCATCAGAGAATTGAAGTGACAGGGCAAATCTCCACCACAAAAACTAGAGAGGCAAGATCAGAACAGGCAGAACATGGAATCATGGCTTACTAGGAGCAAAAACTACCACTGGAACCAGCAACTGACAGAAATACTTAAAGGGCAATTGACTAATTGGTGGAGACTGAACTAGATTGAAAGATTTTTTTAAAAACTCCTGGAGGCCCAGCCTAAGGGGTTGCCCACATTTTCATGAGTTTTACCTCTAGGAGCCCCACAGGTCTTACTATGAAGATTGGAGAAAAATCCCTTCATCCTTCCAGCAAGGAGAGGGAAAAAGTAGCCATTTTGAAATATACCAGAGCATTCCATTCTCCTTAACAAAGACCTTCCCTCAAGGGAAACTATTTAACAGAGCCTAACCAATGTGGGAGAAGGAAAATAACCAACTACAGCTTCCTATAGCTGTCTTGTTTCATCTAAGAGGGAAAAAAGACAAGAAGCACCTATGAAGGTCACAGACCAGGAACACAAGTTCACTAAAAGACTGAGACCGAATAGAATTTTAGAACACTTCCTTTCCCCTGCACTTCACCAACACATCAGTTGGGCTGCTATAACAGGTGACTACATATGAAAGAACTATAAACTCAGACCCTATTTAAGAAGGAGTTTCTACTTTAGCTGTCACCCTCCTACCCCCACTCCCCAGCCCTAAGCACCCACTAATTAAAAAATTTCTCTTTCTTACCTAATCGCCCTGAGTAGAATCACCCATACAATGTTGAATAAAAATGGTGAGAGACAAAAAAAAAAAAAAATCAAATTTAATTCCTAATGCACCTAGGGCTTCCCTGGTGGTGCAGTGGTTGAGAATCCACCTGCCGATGCAGGGACATGGGTTCGAGCCCTGGTCTGGGAAGATCCCACATGCCGTGGAGCAACTAAGCCCATGCACCACAACTACTGAG